GGACGGTGTTGGGAAACTCAAGCTTCCCCTCACTAGAGGCCGAGCTAGAAAAATAGGTAATGCTTTCAAAGAAGGAGACATCAACACTCACATAGATTTTGTTTGTGGTCGGATCAAGACATCAATAACTCTTTTGAGTTGTAAAGCATCCAAGGAAGATATATTTTATAGATTTGGGATCAAGTTTATTTCAGGTAAGGGTAGTGTTTTGAACAAAGCATAGCATCCAAAAATTTTGGGATCTAAAGTGGAGCATCCAAGGAAGATATATTTTATAGATTTGAGATCAAGTTTATTTCAGGTAAGGGCAATGTTTCGAACAAATGCATAGCATCCAAAAATTTTGGGATCTAAAGTGGAGAAGACCCGATTGACAGGGAAGAATGATACAGAATAACTAAGGGGGTTCAGAACTTGTGAATTTTTTAGGGGATTCAATTTATGAGATAAGTGACAATTGGAATGACATCATTCAAAAAATATTTCGGGACATTGGATTAAAATATAATGGAGCGAGCAATGTCGAGGAGGTGACGGTTTTTTCTCTCGGCTACCCCATTTTGCTGAGTGTCTGTGCAAGAACTATGGTGGAAGATGTCTTTACTTGCCAATAATTCACTCAAAATGGAATTGAAGAACTCGCAACCATTGTTGGTCTGAAGGACCTGAATAGGAGCTTTGAATTGAGTTAATACAAATGTGTAGAAGTTTTGTAAAGTTGCAGGAAGTTCTGATTTGTCTTTTAAAATGCAGCCTCACATCATTTGAGTGTGATTATCAATTAAGGTCAAGAATCATCGTTTATTGGTGTAACTGAAAGTACGAGAAGGTCCCCATTTATCACTGTGAATGAGGGAGAAATGATTGGAAACTGTGTAAGTGTGCGGTGTTTAATGAACCCGGTGATTTTTGACTAATTGACATGTCTCACAATTGAAATCCGAGAGATTTTTATCAAAAAACATCATAGGATACAAAATTTTCCAATTTGAAAACTAGGACCACGTAAATGATAGTGCAATAACATAATAGGATATTCAATGACTCGAGATAGGCTATAACTTTTGAGTGTCGTGTATTCACTCTTCGTGTTGTCCTCTTGAAAGTAGAAGAGTTTAACTACCCTTTTAGCAGTTCCAATCATTCTTCCCGAATGAAGATCTTGAAAAACACAACTATCATAAGAGAAATTAACAGCACAATTGATATCACTTATCAATTTGCTGACAGATAATACGTTATGTTGTAATCCATAAATATGTAAAACAAACTCCAAAGTGAGATTGATTGTTAGTATAATCAACCATTTATCAGCAATGGAGCTACAGGATCCATTGACAATTCTGACTGTTTTTTTCGAAGCACGGGTAGTAAGTCGAGAAAGTTTGCGAGCAACCAGTCATATGATACGTGACCCCTGAATCAATAATCCATAGACTAGAGGAGGAATAACAATGAGAGTCATATGAGCTGTATTTTGTCGGATGTGGGAGATCGATGGACTCGTAGAGACTTGGTTGGCTCCTAGTAGCTTGATCAATTGCTCCATCTAGTTTTGTAGGGGTTCGGAGAATTCCAGGATGTTTCGGGTAGGAGTTGGTTTAGCCGTGCTTGGTTCGGTCGTTGTCGTGTATCCTTTGACATTAGAGTTTTTGGCCGAGGGTTTGTTTAACTGCTTGTTGTGAAGTTTCCAACACTTGTTCTGGGTGTGATTGGGCTTGTGACAGTAATCACAAGTGGAATGAACAGTTCGTGGTGATAGGGACGAGGGCGAAACACTATTTGAGATCAAGGCGAACGATTCAGCTGAAGGAGTAGAAGCGCCAACATGACAAGTCTCCTGCTTTCTTCTTGATGAATCTCGGTGAAAACAACTCGAGTGGATGAGAGAGAATCCTGACCAAGAATTTGGCACCGAATCTCATCAAGGTCTTTGTTAAGGCTAGCAAGGAATTGAAACATACGATCCTTGTCTACGATCTTCTAGAAGAGGGATAAGTCGGCTGGAGAATCCCATGTTTAGTCATAATACAGGTCGCATTCTATCCATAATGCAACAAGGTCATTATAGTACTGGGTTACGGTACTTGGCCCATGTTTAGCCTCCTGGATCTTTTTAGATACCTCATAGAGTTGGTTGGAATTTCCTACATCCGAGTTGGTGTCACGGACAACCGTCTAGATAGCACTAGTTGAAGAAAGGAACATGTACAAACGATCAATTGACGTCTCTATGGAGTTGATTAGCTATGATATGACCATGAAGTTCTTCACTTTCCGAGCTCCATATGTCAGGTTGATCTTTGGAAGCTCTCGAATCATTCCTGTGAGGTGACCAAATTTCTCATGTTCTTTGATGAACAAAGTGACCGCTTGGGACCATTGGGGGAAGTTGCCGCCCTTCAACTTGTGAGTTGTGATCAAGAAATTCATGTTGGCTTCTGATCCTCTGGTCTGCAGGAGAGCAGCGTTTGGAATTGATCCTCTGGTGGAGTTAAGAACCCCTTTTTAGGGCGATTCATTGAAAGAATCAGCCATAAATCCGACTTAACCAAAGGATGTGTTGTTGTGGTTATGAGCCATCGATGAATTTCGATAGAACCACGACAAACAGATACAAAATGGACAGCACTAAATGCAAGAATTGCATGTTTCCAAGACTTGCAAGGATTCTTAAACAGACAACAAAACAAGGGATTCCTCCGAAGGGGTTGCACTGGCGGTTGCTGAAACCTACAGGAAGAAGGGGTTGCATTGGCGGCTGCTGAAACCTGCAGGAATGCGATGGAACAACTACAGGGATACGGGCGAACAACTGCAGCTTGATAGAAGCCTGTTGTTCGCTGGAATTCTTGTTGAAACCGGCTGTTTGCAGACTCGGCAGAGGAGGGCGCTGGCTTGGGGGTGGAGGGGATTGAGGAAGTCAGGGGCTGCTGGATCTAGGACTAGGCTCTGATACCATGTTGAGATTTGAAATAGACAAGCTTCATTTTAGGGGTATTTATGATAGGAATAAATATGGAAAGCCATAAAAGTAGAATAAAATAACTAGGAAAGAAAATAAAACAGAATGAATAGACAAGCTTCATTTTATTGATAGGAGGGGTATTTATGATAGGAATAAATATGGAAAGCAATAAAAGTAGAATAAAATAATTAGGAAAGAAAATAAAACAGAATAAGATAAAAGGAGAAATACGTAATCAAGAGGAATAAAAATAAATAATAAGTAATAATGGGATTATAATCTAATAATAACCATTTAAATCAAATGCCTAATGTCGATGGCTTCATAATAAAGAGTTTCATTACTCACACTGTAGTAATAAAAATCTATACTTAATATGGCAAAGCATCCACCTATCATAATAAGATATATATTTGCAATGATATACATATCAGGAAATTAGTACACATTACCCTAAGGGATAATATTTTGTACACTTGCAACAAACATTCATGCTAAGGCACCAATGTGCCCTATGGGGTTTAAAATCACGTTCCTCTTGGACTTTCATCTCAGGTTAAACTAAAGCTCGTAAATAAGTGATGGTTATGTCATGCATTGAGTCCATAATTATGTCTAGCACGTGTGAATCATAAGTGGTTATGCTTCATTTCTATGGATCATTCAACCATGTTGCTAAGGGATCTTTTTGGCAGTAATGAAGTTAAAGTCGATATTGAAAACATGCATTTGATGCACACCTATACCCTAGTTTGCTCGGGGTGATACTGGGAAAAGGCAACCAATGATTGTTTATCAGGCTCTGTGGAAGTTTTAGTTTGAAGCTCTCTGCCATTGGTGGACTTGGCCCATTAGCTAACATGAGATGATGGAAGCATCATTCCTTGATTAGGTTTACCTTCATCTTGACAACCGTCCCCCACTTAATCATTCCAACCTTACATAATTGAACTTAAGTGATTTATTAATTGAGAGTTCCTTCTTTTGCGACTGAAGAGTTATCAGCTTCTAGAGCTTGCACGCTATGGAAGTCTCAACATTAAATGTCATACCTGAAGTGTCTTAAGGGAAGTTTGGTTATATCAATTTGCCTATGGAAATTTCAATCGAAGAAAAAAATTTTAAATAATTTTGTCGGTTCTGTTATTATGCATCTCAAATGGGCAAAGCACTTAAATCATCATTCTTACTTTAGTCTATTTCATTGCTCTACTTCTATAGTTTGTTCTCCAATAAAATTTCCAGTTGTTAATGACTGTAAATTTATAACATTTCTTCGTAATTGATTACTAACCATATTAACCAAAACTATTTCAGACTATGCTTGGGCATGGTTTGGAAATATGTTTGTTGCATTGCATTTCTTTTTTACAATGTTTCATACCACAATTTTGATTTGTATAAAAACGTTTTTTTACAATGTTCCATGCTCACGCTTCCTCTACACCAATTTATGATCCATACAATGAAATTGATACCATGCTCACGCTTCCTCTACACCAATTTATGATCCTTGAGAAAAGACTACGCAGCAACAGGCCCAAATCTGTAGGCGCATTAACAAGTTTAAATTGAACAACTCAGCATAGCTTAATTCATCCTTATCAAATGAATCAGGGGTAACTTAGAATATCTGATAATGAATACTATCAATGAGAAGAGACAAAATGAAGCGTTTTCTCTAGCATGGTTTGGTGCTTTTATATTATCATTGATTATTCCTCTGTTTGAACGCCTTCCCAACTGTATAGTAATCTTACAATGCCTAGCTGAGTTAGTTTTGTCTTTTTGTGATTTGTTTGAAGAATGGTTCCTTGCTAGAATCCCAACATTTATTTTTAATTGAACTTTGGTTTTATTTGTCTTTTGTATATGGCTCAGCACTATTAAGTTGTTAACCAACAATGTGGTTTTTTGTAATTTTGTGTTCATTCTAATTGAAATGTACTCCGCCTCTTTTTTAAATCATTCTGCATTTGCATGCTCCTACACTTGAGTTCTGAAATTTCGTGATTTTTTTTTAACTCACTAGGATGCAAAAGTTACAATGCTCGGCGTGGTTCCCAGTATTGCTCGATCTTGGAAAAATACAAACTGCACTGCAGATCTTGATTGGTCCAACATTCGGTAGGTTATTAATATTGCAACTGCTGCTTTACCACTTCCTTTCTCTGTTACCTTTAAAATCATGTTCATATTTTATTCAATGTATTTCACATATCCTTAGGCGTAATAATTGTATTTATTATTATTTTTTTGGGAAAAAAAAGAGGTTTGTCTCTATTAAGAGACGTACTTTACAATTGTTTGCACTATCTGTGGAAAACAATACAGATGCTTTACCTCCACAGGGGAGGCATCGAGTGTGGACGAGTATTTGTGGCGAGGTTTGTATCTATTAAGAGACGTACTTTACAATTGATTGCACTATCTGTGGAAAACAATACAGATGCTTTAGCTCCTCAGGGGAGGCATCGAGTGTGGACGAGTATTTGTGGCTGATGGGAAGAGCTCATTACAAGCCTGTTATCGAGTACTGTGGGGGCACCGAAATTGGAGGCGGATTTGCCACTGGATCTCTATTACAGCCTCAAGCTTTAGCTGCTTTTAGCACTCCTGCAATGGGATGTACGTTATTTATACTTGACAGCAACGGGATTCCTCTTGTGAGTGTTAATTTTCCAACTTGAAATTTATATTTGATTCTTTTACTTGGAACATTCACCTTATTGTGGAGGAATTATTGGGTTCTGACGATTTACATTACTTTTTTTGTGCGGGGTAATGTAATGCACAGTTGTGTACTTCAAACAATTGAATACACAGCGAGGATACAGCTGAGCACTGTAAATCATTGTGTATCTATGTGCTGTTCTGCACCTAATATTTTATCCTTATTATGGTTGCCATCAACACGCGAGAGATTTTGCAAACCTACCATTGGATGATATCTCATGTAACCATTAAAAAATGTCAAAAAGGATTCTCAACTCCCTTTTAATCATTTTTTACAATAATATTTCACTTTTCATGACTAAGTGAACCTTTGATATGTTTTCTTGGTTGCATTTTTTGATGGGTTTTATTTGAGGTAAAGTTTGCTTTTACTTGTTAGTGTCCTGCATAAGTCCTGATCTTTGAACTTGTAATCATCTATAGCCACAAAGTAAACCTGGTATCGGTGAACTTGCCCTTCATCCCAAAATGTTTGGGGCTTCTACAACTTTGCTAAATGCCGATCATTATGCTGTTTACTTTGAAGGAATGCCACTCTGGAGAGAAACAGTAAGTTTTGCTGATAAAAAATGTATTTTTTTGTAGTTTCTATTTTCTCAGTGCATGTACTTATCTAGTCTGGTCTTGCAGCCACTTCGTCGGCATGGAGATGAATTCGAGCGCACAGTTAATGGATATTATCGGGCACATGGCCGTGCTGATGACACCATGAATCTGGGTGGTATCAAGGTGCTAATAACCACAAGAATTTTACATTTACAGTAAGAAATTAAGAGATGCAATTTAGTTTTTATTGTATAATCCTTCTATAGGTTAGCTCTGTGGAGATTGAGAGGATATGTAATGGAGTAGATGAAGAAATCCTTGAGACGGCTGCAATTGGTGTGCCACCAGCTGGCGGCGGCCCTGAGCAGTTGTTCGTCGCTGTTGTCTTCAAAGTTGAGAATTCATCGGAGGAGAGCTTGGACCGGCTTAAAGTTTCCTTCAACTCTGCTTTGCAAAAGAAACTGAATCCTCTATTCAGAGTACTTTTTACTAACTTTTTTTTTATGGTGGGGGGCATAATTCTTCTATATTTACATATCTAACACCTAAAGTTTCTTATTTACATACAACACTCAAATTTTTGGCATTAAATAAAAGAAAAAATCACTATTACAAACTTTTTAAAAGTGAAATACTCATTTTTATGCATAAGTTTTGACACCCAAACATTATAAATGCAATTAATCATCAAACTTAGTGTTAGGTATGTAAATACATGAGAATTGTGTGGTATGTACATAAATTTCCATTGTAAATATTTTTTTTAAAATTGAATATTGTGAATGAGGTTTGATTTTACTGGTTTCTACTGCAGGTTTCTGTGGTGGTGGCTGTACCTTCACTTCCACGAACAGCTTCAAACAAAGTCATGAGAAGAGTTCTTAGGCAGCAATTCTTGAAGCGCTCCAAGTTCTAATTTAATTGTATTACACTTCATCTGTCTCATTGCAGTTGTCGACTTTGCTGGAGGAATAAAAGCCATTGCAGGAACAAAATCATCAAATTTAGATGCTTAGAAGGGACAACCATGGTCAAGCCTACCAATTTAGGTGACTGGTTAGCCTAAATATGGCGGTTTTATATGTGATGGGGAGTAATCCACATTCTCTTCTATGTGGTGGAAAAGAATGTTAGCAATAAAGGCTAAAAGGAAAGTAGGGATGGGGATCTCATTGTGAGTGGTGCACTTGTTGTCTTTAGTCACCTTTAATTTATGCATATTGATATGCAACCCATTTCAAAAGATTTGGTTGTCTTAAATGTGTTGAACTCAAAACTCCATCATTTTGCTATTTGCTTAAAGAGAAATGCTCCACTTAAAAGAATGAAATGTCTTTTGAAATTTATCCTCACTATATTTGCAATTAAAATTTTGATTTCACATTACTAATGTATGAATTAGATAAATTCACTAAATTTGCAATTAAATTTTTGATTTCTCATTACTAATGTATGAAATAGATAAAGCTATGTTATATAATGTATTTCAAACATTGATTAAATAAGATAATACCTCACTATATTTGCAATTAAAATTTTGATTTCACATTACTAATGTATGAATTAGATAAAGATATGTTATGTAATGTATTTCAAACATTGATTAAATAAGATAATACAGTGGTAATTAATTGTATTTTGCTTTGCTTAGCTCAAGTCTACACATGTTGGTTGGTTAAGCTCAAGGGCACTATTTTTTTATTATAAATTGAGCATAAGATGGCATGATCTTTAATGTATATTGCTGATAGTTATGTAGATTATTCTGAATAAAAATAGAAATGCATTTTATGAGAACTATAAATGACCCTTTCTCAATTCATTAGGAGATAATTTATCAGTTTATTGTGGTAGCCCAAATCATCCTAGACATTTTATAAGCAAAAGGCAATCTCATAGCTAATTCATGTAAGATTTTAATCATAATTGTCTCCCATAAAACCTACCTTATTGCAATTATTTGTAAGACCTATCTGTTAGCAATTACTAATAAATGCTTGAATTTTGAACAAAGTATCTGCTTTACAACAACCCTTGATGCATCGTAGCTATTTTTTGATATATTTTAGCATTAGCCACCATTTTTATAGCCTATAAAATTACCAAAGTCACCTAGAGGGTGGTTTTACTGGTCTCGAGACCCCTTCCCTTCGAATATGGATGTCGAGTGGTTCATGGTCGACGTTCGAACCCAATTGCAAATAACAGCTTCTAGATTGCTCCAAGTTTCCCTAGACCGTGATCACCTCCCCGTCATATGGGAACTTTACGATCTCATGGTAGGTTGAACTTTTGAAATAGTCCTTGTTCCATATGACTTGTACTTTTTCATCCATTAACATGTTGAGGGGTGTCAAACCTCGCATTTCTCTGTAGACATGCAATCACTCATAATAATAGGTCGGCCATTGATCAGAGCGTCGGTTCCGATCATGATTCACTAAGCCATATCTTCGCTGATCTTCGGACTAAGAGTAATTTTTTTTATGACCGGCAGAGGACTGATTGTCCTTTGATTTCTACAGTTCCCCTTGTTCTCTTTGCTTCTTTGAGGGATGATCTCCGACTTACCCTCCAGAGAGCCTCAAAGATCATCCTCGGTGAGTATGTGCTCATTTGGCATCTCGAATACTTCTGCAAAAATAGCAGGTTTAAATATGTTTAGATCATACCTGAACTGCTCACTCGAACTTCTCGTTTTAAGGCTATTCCACCAATATCAGGTTTCAGATATCTAATTTCGAGCATCTCATTCTAGAAACAGGTGATGTAGGCTCACAGACTCTCATTTTCTCTCTAATTGAGGTTGAGCAGAGTGTCTATGTCTTTCCTCGACTTTTGCATGTTTGAGAAGTGTGAAATGAGGAGCCTTTTAAACTCGTAGTAACTTGGGATGGTTTTGGTCAACAAACCGTTGATCCACCAAAAGGCTGACTCCTTCAGGGTGGTTAAGAGACGGCACATCATAGGGTCGTCAATCAGGATCACACCGACGGATGATTCAAACGACGCTATGTGGTCGATTGAGTCGGTCCTTCCTTTGTAAGAATATAAGCGAGGGATCCTTAGCTTAGTTGGGGGTATCTCCTCTTTGATTTGGCGAGTGAACGCCCCTACTGCGAGCGGCTGGACAAACACTCACATCTGTTCTTCCCATCACCTGTTCGCCTGTGCAAATGCACCAGTATCGGTGTGTTGGGACTTGCCTTGTCCCTCCATCCTCTGGTTCTAACTTGGTTGTCAAGAGTTGGTAGGTTCGCCGGTGGGGGCCTTTGAGGATGGACCCCCTGAGATTCAATTTCCAAACGAGACAGTTGGTCGTTCCTTTGGATGATAGCCCCGGAGGATCTCGAATTGCTCCATCATAAGGGTCATTTGACCTTGTAAGCCTTGGAGTTGTGCATGGACGCCTGGTTGTGTAGCCTCTTTACTGGGTTTCATGTGTGTTATCTGTCTTTGGGAGACTTCTCCTTCGTAGTCTTTTCCACTTCTTGTTTGTGGCATATCCACGCTCACCGCATAACTTTTTAGGATGTTGAATCTTAAATTATCCTTTGTAAATAAGCTCCGAGAGTTTAGGACCGAGTGAAGGAAAGAAGAGAGAAAGATAATATATCAAGTCAAGAATTTCGGCATAACTTTTTAGGATGTTGAATCTTAAATTATCATTTGTAAATAAGCTCCGAGAGTTTAGAACCGAGTGAAGGAAGGAAGAGAGAAAGATAATATATCAAGTCAAGAATTTCCTGTAGAGAGAATCGGGAGCCCTCCCTTATTCATATTTTTTACTCCAATATATAAGAGTGTATTTGGTACAATTACAAAAAGAAGAGAGCAGTCATAGAAATCACTCTTAATACAATTGATGTTCTAATTAATCATATGGATTTTATACCATATTTTTATCAATTTGAGTTTTAACATTATAGTAATTGACTGACCGACTTGCTTGAATTCGGTCAATTGAGGCGACCGACTAAGTGACGACTGTGTCTTCTAAAGTACGTGTTGGTCGGCCAAAGCATCTGGTCTGATGTCGATCATCCGCAGCTGTAAAGGTTCGAATCTCTCGTCGTAGTGTGTCGGGTGATTCTTGACCACGCAGTTGGCAGTAGGGCGTGGACCCTTGGATTGTCTAGTCATAGTTTGGGCCGTACGAATGTTTTGAGATTCATGCTAACAACTGTATTTTAAAGAAATTTATTAAAATAGTTTAGCCATTGTCATTGTTTATACAATGTTCTTTATTACTTCCTATGATTAGTACAGTAGTTTATTATGTTTTAATTATAATATTGCTTGTGATACGCTATTTTGTTAATATTTAATTTTTTTTGTCAAGTATTGGGTGCAAAAATATATTGAGAGAAGACGGCCACGCGAAATTACGAAGACCACATGCGAAAAAAAATATTAAAAATTTATCATTTATATAAAAAAATCTCAAATTTCATAATTATTCGCCCTAAATATAACTTGATTTCGCCTCTGTTACCCGTAAAAATGAGAAGACGGCCACGTGAAATTACGAAGACCACATGCGAAAAAAATATTAAAAATTTATCATTTATATAGAAAAATCTCAAATTTCATAATTATTCGCCCTCAATATAACTTGATTTCGCCTCTGTTACCCGTAAAAATACCTCAAAAAACCTCTGAAAATCTCATACTGAACAAAACTTCCATCACAATCATGCACAAATGAAATGACAAAATTAATTTCTGATTAGTGTTTGGCCCACATAATTATATCAAAAATCTCTATATAATCACCTACTAATATCTAATTATAAAGCCAGATTGAGCTTATGCATGATTTACTGTAACAATCAATCCACTAAACTTCAGCTAACACACATATGCGAAATGATTTGTGGCAGTCAAGTGGACACAGTGATTTAATAATCTCAGCAGCAAATCCAAACATGCCAAAATCTTGCCTGTGAAATAAGTTTCCACCACACATGCTTTATAATTAATTTTGGGATGCGACAGACAACTACTTATTGTCTTCTAATTAAATAAGATTGCCATTTCGTCCAATATATCTTGTCACCATTTACTTTCTGATGTTAACATGCAACAGGTGGGGCTATCATTTGAATCGAGTTGGGGTCTGCTTAAAATCGACTTAGATAGATTTAGCGTAGCTCGAAATTGGCTCGTGGCTAGCTATATTCGATTTTGGGTTGAGCCAGCTCAAAATTGATACTGACTGGCTCAAATTGAGTTATTTCGATCTGTTCCAGCTCAAAATCGGTTCGTAATTGGCTCGTGACTCATCTTATTCAGGTTTACTTAGCATTATATATATTTAATTTTTTATAAATAAAAAAAGTACTACAAGCCAATCTCGAATTAGTTCGAGTCGTGATCCATATATGACTCGGAATCAACTAAAAAAGAATCAATCCAAAGCTTCGGCTAATAGCTCGGCTCATTTATTTCGATCCAATCTCGATTTGAACCAAATATCTAATCAATTTTCAAACCATTAACAATCTCCAAGCAAAACTCACACCCCTAACCACACATGCATATATTGCCCTGCATATTCTTGCTCCTCTTCATTGTCTTCTTCTCCCCTCTTGTGCTGAGGTAGCCTTCTCCTCTTCTGCATAACATTATTTTCTATTTGTTTGCTGTTTATGTTTTCTTATTGTTTATAATCTGATGAGTTGTTAATGGCTAGATTGAGAAGATGGTCATGATTGTTGGCAAGCAGCTGCAGAAGCTGGTGGGCGATCTCAAATCGAAATTGAAGAAGCCATTGAAGTCGCAGAAACCTTACAGCAAGATGGACAAGACTGACAGCATGAGAGTGGAGATCAAGAGCAGGAAGGCTCAGAAGCTTATTGCTGATACACTGAAGATTGCTGACTCTCCCACTGGCTGCAGAAGCTATGCTTTTTGATTCAATTTGTTCATTCATGAAGTTGGAATTATGAAGAATTATTATGGGAGTTCCATTTTGTATCTTTTTTTGTTATGGAGATTCCAAGCCCCAAATGAATTTTATTTTTATTTTTGTTTTTTTATGATGATGTTCTGTTTGGTTGAAAGGTCAATCTTCAGTATCATTTGATGAAAAGAATATTACGTATGAAGTTTGTTTGCATGGGAAGTTGATGTACAACTTCATTATGCATTGTTGCACAACATGTATATAACAATGTTGTACATGAAATTTGTATGCATACAGACTCCGTACCACTGACTGTTGGTGGCTTGTTATAAATATATGTTGAATGACTTCTTAGTAACAAACCACGACATAGGCGTATGATTGATGATGATATATGTACCATACATGAAACTATATGTTCAAATC